GTGAGAAAGAGGGAGAGCCGTCGGCAGACGCCACGGGGCGTGGGGGTGCCATTGGACCGCAGGTGATGGTGTTTGGGGGTGGAGGGGAAGGACCGGGGACAGCTGGTGGTGCTCTCTATCGTCACGGGGCCCGGGTTACACAGGCGGACCCGTCACAACGCCCAAAGGTGCCCTTCGTCTGTAGGTGCCCCACACTGGGGTGCTGCTCTGCACGGATGAGACGGAAAGCAGGGGGCCCACCACAGGGCATGACTGGCATGCGGGGTGCTGAGTGGGGACACACTGTCCTCTGGGATTTACTTTGAAAGGCATCAAAAAATACGATGGATTGATGGATGGATTGAGGCTGGGTGGATGGATGGATAGATGATAGATAGATAGATAGATAGATAGAGATAGATGATAGATAGATAGATAGATAGTCTGGCTGGTGTGGCTCAGTGGTTGAGCATCAATCTAGGAACCAGGAGGTCACGGTTCGATTCCCAGTCAGGGCACAGGCCCGGGTTGCAGGCTCCATTCCTGGGGGCGGGGCGTGCAGGAGGCAGCCCATCCATGATTCTCTCTCATCATGGATGTTTCTCTCCCCTCGTCTCTGAAATCAATGTATGTGTGTGTGTGTGTGTGTGTGTGTATGTATATATATATATATATAGTTTTCTTTTTAAAGAGAACCTGGAAGAAGAGAGGGAGGAGGAACGGGTCCGTACCCTGTTTCTGCCCGCGTCGCCCTGGCCGTCCCAGGCCCAGCTCCTCTTGGTGAAGTAGTTGACGATGGCAAACTCGATGAGCGCGGAGAACACGAAGCCGTGGCACACGGCGATGAACCAGTCCATGGAGGTGGCGTAGGACACCTTGGGCAGCATGTTCCGGGCACTGATGCTGAGGGTGGTCATGGTCAGCACCGTGGTCACCCCTGGAGGGAGCGGGAGCGGACACGGGCTCAGGGCCGGCACCCAGGCCCCACGCGGCATCCGAACGCGACCGACGCGGGGTGGGCAGCAGAGGGCCGGGCCGGGCCGACTCACCGAACACGGTGCGGGCGGGCACGGACTCCCGGTTCACCCAGAAGGACACCTGGGACAGGATGACGGTCATGATGCAGGGCAGGTAGGTCTGGGTGAGGAAGTAGCCCAGCTTCCTCTTCAGGTGGAAGTCCGCCGTCAGGACCGTGAAATTGCCTGCGCACAGAGAGGGAGCCGTCAGCGCCCCCGGACCCGCACCCAGGACCTGTGCCATCCCCACCCCACCCCCGGGGCTCCAGGGCAGTGCCCTGTGCCCCGGGGCCTGTCCTCTCAGCACCTCCCCTCAAGTGTTTGTAAGGTTCGGGCAAAGGAGGGGATGGAAAACCCATGGGTTTCTTTATTTTTAAATTAATTTTTTTTAAGTTTGTTGATTTTTTTTATTTTTTAATAGGTTTTATTGATGTCAGAGAGGAAGAGAGAGGGAGAGAGAGATGGAAACATCCATGATGAGAGAGAATCATGGACCGGACGCCTCCTGCACGCCCCCTACTGGGGATGGAGCCCACAGCCCCGGCCTGTGCCCTGACCGGGAGTCAAACCCTGACCTCCTGGTTCCTAGGTCCACGCTCAACCACTGAGCCGCCCCAGCCAGGGACACGTGTGGTCATTTTATAAATCCTGTGGCCCCCCAGCCCCTGAGGTGCCTGCCCTGAGGCTGCCTTTCCTGGGGAGATCAGATTTCTGTCTTTCTAATCCCTGGCCCCTCTGTGCCCCTCCACCCGCCCCCTGGCCGCTACCACCGCTGCCAGCAGGACTGAGGGTTTGGCCTCTTAGACAGAACCGGGCACATCCCAGCGCCCTGTGGTGGGTGGATGGTGTGGCCACGTCTCTGTGGCCCCTGGGTTTGCGTGCCAACGGACCGCTGTGCCCACCCCTCCCACCCCCCACGGCTGAGGGGAGAGCTGGCGTCCGGCCCGCCCGCCGGGACTCACCTACGCTGGTGGAGCAGCTGCCCGAGTGTGTCTCGAACCCCGTCAGGTAGTACTGGGTCAGCCGGGAGCCATCCTCAGCCACATCCAGCCCGTTAGTGGCATTCGTGTCCAGCCACACGTAGGTGATTTCCTCGCTGGTGTACGCGTCTGGGGTCGGGGAGAGACAGGGAGAGCGGCGTAAACGGAGTGTCACCTGACACCGGGCCCGTCCGAAGGAGCTAGAGACTGGAGAAAGCCCCAGTCCAGCCCGGCCGGCGTGGCTCAGTGGTTGAGCATCGACCTGTGAACCAGGAGGTCAGGGTTCGATTCCCGGTCAGGGCACAAGCCTGGGTCGAGGGCTCCCCCAGGAGGGAGCATTCAGGAGGCAGCCGGTCCATGATTCTCTCTCATCATTGATGTCTCTCTCTCTCTCCCTTCCTCTCTCTCTCTGAAATCAATAAAAACATTTTTAAAATTTATTTATTTATTTATTTTTTGCTAATCCTCACCTGAGGATATTTTTCCATTAATTTCTTTTTAGAGAGAGTGGAAGGGACGGGGAGAGACAGAGAGAGGGAAACATCAATTGGTTGCCTCCTGCACGAGCCCCTCCTGGGGCTGGGGAGCCTGCAACCGGAACCGTAATCCGGGCCTCCAACCGACCACCTCTCAGAGGAACCAGGCGGGAGGTTCTGTGATGTTTTCACACCGGAGGGAGGGACCAACCGGGGCATTCGTCCCCGCCCGCCCCCGCCCCTCCTGCCGGGGCGACAGTTCTGTCCGCCCCCCCTCCCGCGTCGTCGTCCCTCACCCCTCGTCCCTTTAGGACCCCTGTCCCTGTCCCTCCCCCCTTTCTCTCTGAAATCCATACAAACACATTGAAAAACGAGCACTCACAGCTTCCGAATTTCAGGGAGCAGGTGTGCTCGTCCATGGGGAAGTTGTAGAGCTGCATGGGGCAGTCGGCAGAGATGGTCAGGCTGCAACAGAAGTGAGAGAGAGTCATGGGCCTCCGGCCTCCTGCAGGCCCCCGCCCTGGGGATCCAGGGAAGTCGGACAGGTGCCTGCCTACCTCCTTGTCTCTGACGGAGAGACTCCTGATAGACCAAAGAGCTTCTGGCTACACATAGAGAATGCATTTCAAGTACTGCCCCCGCGTAAGACGTGCAGAACGTGTCTGTGATGTCCCTCAAGCAGGTTACCGACTGTACTGCGCACCTACATGGGACCATCGGCTCCTTACGCTAGAACTCAGGGGCCGCGCTCAGCCCATTCCTGCGCAAACACGATCCTCTGCTGCCCTCCCGTGGCCGTTTGGAGGAATTACACTTTGTGTCTCTGTCCGCGGTATGCTCACATACACACGCTAGGACCCAGTTAAAAACGTCTAGTTTCGTGTGGATAATTTACTCCAAATGTTAACCAAACACGTGTAACACGTAGACAATTCCCTTCAAGTAAGCAACTGATTCTACTGGACACCTGCGTGGGACTCCACTGCAGTGGTTCTCAACCTTCCTCACGCCGCGACCCTTCAATGCAGTTCCTCATGCTGTGGGGACCCCCGACCATAAAATTATTTTCGTGGCTACTTCATCACTGTAATGTTGCTACTGTTATGAATCGTCATGGAAATATCTGATATGCAGGATGGTCTTAGGCGACCCCTGTGAAAGGGTCGTTCCACCCCGTTGAGAAACATAGACTGTACCGAATTGGAATAAATTAAAAAACAACAAACCCCTAGCTGGTCTGGTTCAGTGGATAGAGCGTCTGCCTGCGGACGGAAGGGTCCCGGGTTCGATTCTGGTCAAGGGCACATGCCTGGGTTGTGGGTTCGTATGGGGGCGTGCAAGAGGCAGCCGATCGATGAGTCTCTCTCATCATCGATGTTTCTATCTCTCTCTCCCTTGTCCTTCCTCTCTGAAATCAATAAAAAAAAGTGTTTTTTAAAAAGAAGGACCAGCCCTAGCCGGTTTTGTTCAGTGGATAGAGCATCAACCTGCGGACCAAAGGGTCCCAGGTTCGATTCCCATCAAGGGCATGTGCCTAGAGGGCTCCTAGAGGAGGCAACCAATCGATGTGTTTCTCTCACATGGATGTTTCTCTCTGTCTCTCCCTCTCTCTTCCATTCTCTCTAAAAATCCATGGAAAAATATCCTCAGGTGAGGATTAACAAAACAAACAAACAAACAAACACAGGAAGAAAGCAAGATTTACTGAATATATCTCTCCGTGCCATATTTACCCAGACACTGGTGTGTGCATGTATGGTAATAAATATAGATACAGATAAAGATAAAGATATAGATCCTAATATGTGTGTATACTCACAAACGTACTAGTTCCTAGTTAAAAACGTCTAGTTACATATGGACGATTAATTTCAAATACTACCCCAGAATGAAACGTGTATAATGCCCTTCAAGCAAGTTACTGATTATATTGGACACCTGTATGGAACTATCTGCTCCTTACGCTAGAACTTAAAGGACGCGCTCAGCCCATTCCTGTGCAAACATGATCCTCTGCTGCCCTCCTGTGGCCGTTTTGAGGAATTACACTTTGTGTCTCTGTCCGCGGTGCTGAAGCTCCGGGCGGAAATCCCTGGTTCTGCTTCCAAACCAGGCGGAGCCAGGTCCGACGGGAGGACAGATGCTTGCCTATCTCGTTGTCTCTGATAGAGAGACTTCCCTCCCACCCAGGACTCAGGACACTTACGGGCACTGACCCCAGAGCTGCCCCTTCGGAGGGTGTGGAGGAAAGGGGGGATCCGGTCACCGCCTCCCAGCTCACCTGCTCCCCAAGGAAAACGTCTCCTATTTGGCAGGTCCCCTCAGGCACGTGGTCGCCCCCTACTACCCGGGGTTTTCATGGCAGTGAAATTGAAACTGCCATGCGATCAGCACCAGAAATTCCAGCTAGAAAACCACACAAAATGGGCAGTGCTGGGTTCTGCACCTCTCCCCTGCCCAGCCCTGCAAAGGAGGCCGGGGGCACTGCTGGGCAGGGGTGCCCTTTAACCGTGTCCCAGCCACCCTGCCTAATACATCTGTTGGTGCCGTGTTTTGTTTTGTTTTTAAGATAACAAACTATGAATTCCTTTTATTATAATTTTTTTTGTTAATCCTCACCCGAGGGTATTTTTCCATTGATTTAGAGAGAATGGAAGAGAGAGGGACAGAGAGAAATAGCGATGTGAGAGAAACACATCCATTGGTTGCCTCCTGCAAGAGCCCCGACCAGGGCCTGGGCCGGGGAGGAGCCTGCAACGGAGGTATGTTCCTTCGACCGGAATCGAACCTGGGACCCTTTGGTCTGCAGGCCGGTGCTCTATCCACTGAGCCACACCGGCTAGGGCTGTTGGTGTTCTTTTTAACTAGACTCTGGTGTGTTAATGTCCGACAATAAATGCAGGTAAAGATACACTTGCTTATGTGTGTATACGCTCAGACACTCCCAGTGCCTACTTACAAACGTCCGGTGGCATCCGGATAATTTATTTTAGATCCTACGCAGGAATAAAACATGTAGAACATATATGCACTGTCCTTCACGTCAGTGACTCATTATAGGGCACACGTCTACGCATCCGTATACTTCTTACAGGAGACTTGGAAGGACGCTGTCAGCACATCATCGCGCAAAAACGACCCTCTGCTGCCCGCCTGTGGCCATTCGGGGAATAACACCTTGTACCTCTGTCCATGGTGCTGACGTCCCCGCTAAAGCCCCGTGAACACGACCAAACATTGTACCCCACCCCACCCCCCAAAACCCCCGCAAAACCAGCTACAGGGATGAAGGACCGGGCCCAGGTTCTACCCAGGCAGTGCCCGGAGCCTCCTCTGTCTAGACCAGTGGGTCCCAGTGTGGGGCACACGCCCCACAGGGGGGGCAGTTTGAGTGTTAAGGGGGGCAATTCGAGAATAAGTTATTAGCCATGAACGTTTTGCATTTCTTATGGTTCTAGGGGCCTCGGGATCGTCTAAAATATATATATATATATATAGTGACATATTTATGCATCTCAGTTCTGTATTATGTTTGGAAACTTTATTTGCTATTTTTTCCTATCCCGTCATATTATTATTATTATTGAAACAATTCCTTAGCGATTTCTTCCTCAGTTCGTCCACTGTCCTTTTGTTCTTTTTCTCTCTCTCTCTCTCATGGACGCCATGTTCTTTGGAAGCTCGTTTAGACCAAGCTCATGGCCTCTGAGGCTCCCTCCGTGTGAATAGGAGCTCACTTTGTGAATAATAGGAATCCTATGTCGGGGGAGGGGGCATCAGGATGGTAGAGAGGCTTAGGTGGGGCGTGGCCAAAGCAAGGTTGGGAACCACTGCTCTAAGGTGACCCTGTGCCCCCATTGCCCCTCTGCCCTGTGCCCCGGCCCCCTGCCCACCCCATGCTGCACCCCGTATCCCTGCCCTGTGATGTCTCCACCCCCATCCTGCGCTGCCCATGACAAGCCCCCGTTATAATGCCTGCTGCACCTGCACTGCGCCCCTTGCCCTCCTCTTGTGATCCGTCCCTGAGGGCCCTGCATGCTCCACCCCGGCTCCACACTCGCCCTCCCTGCACCCTCCCGTGGTGCCAGGCCCGCAGCTGCCCCCGCAGGACGGACGGCCGGACGGCCGGACGGGCTCACCGCATGGTGTAGAGCAGGGTCCCGTCCGACTCCAGCCGCAGCAGCTTGTTGGGCGTGGTCGTGTTGTGCACGACGGACTTCTTGCTGTTGTGGAAGTAGGTGTCCGGGGTCCAGATCTTGCCGGCCATCATGTTGTTGAGCGACAGGCTACGTATGGGCCCCTCGAACTGCAGCCGCTCATCATTCCAGCTTTGGCGGAAGAACACGTCGATGGTGTATTCCTGTGGCAGCGCCGGAGGGCGGGGGAGAGGGGGGACATGGTGAGGTCACAGCTCGGGGAGCCCCATCCCCCAGATCTTCGTGTTTATCCCCCGGGGCCTGGCGGGGGACCCGACCCGCACCTACCATCTGCGTGTCGGACACCGGGCCAATGCTGGTCACCAGGATGTCAGTGTTCACCACGGTGGTCCACTCTGAAACAGACCAGGGGCCTGAGCGACGCCACCAGGGCCCAGGCCTCCGTCCAGCCCAGGGCGCCCGCCTCGCCCGGCCACGCCCCCGGGCATCTCCACCGTCCTGATGCCCCACCCCCCCACGGAATTCTTCTCATCCACAAAGGGAGCTCCTGTCCACGCAGAGGAGGCCTCAGAGGCCACGAACTCGGGCTAAACAAGCTGCCAGAGAACATGGCGTCCACGAGAGAGAAAACAAAAGGGCGAAAGGACAGCGGACGGGGTGAGGAAGATTCACTAAGGAATTGTTAATAATAATAATAATAATATGAAGGGATATGAGAAAATAGCAAATAAAGTTTCAGAACATATCATAGAGAACTGAGACGCATAGATATGTCACCATATATACGTACAGACTGTCTAGGGCAGTGATGGCGAACCTATGACACGCGTGTCAGAGGTGACACGCGAACTCATTGTTTGGGTTGATTTTTCTTTGCTAAATGGCATTTAAATCTATAAAATAAATATCAAATATATAAGTCTCTGTTTTACTCTGGTTGCAAATGTCAAAACATTTCTATATGTGACACGGCACCGGAGTTAAGTTAGGGTTTTTCTAAATGCTGACACGCCGAGCTCAAAAGGTTCGCCATCACTGGTCTATGGGGCCCCTAGAACCCTAAGAAATGCAAAACATTCACCATGAATGATGCATCCTCGAGCTGCCCCCCTTAAACATCAAACAGCCCCCCCGCCCCATGGGCGTGTGCCCCACGCTGGGAACCCCGGGGCTGGAGGCTGCTGTCACACTTGGCGACCAGGGGAGCTTTTCTAATGCATGTGTTATGTGTGGAGGCTTGACCGCCACCCAATGAGGAGGCGGGAGACAGCACCCATCCCATCCAGAAGGAGCACGACCCGGCCGGCGGGGCTCAGAGCTTGAGTGTCGCCCTAGGAACCAGGAGGTCAGGGTTCCATTCCCGGTCAGGGCACAGGCCCGCCTCGATCCCCAGTAGGGGGCGTGCAGGAGGCAGGTGATCCATGATTCTCTCTCATCATGGATGTTTCTCTCTCTCTCTCTCTCCCTCTCCCTTCCTCTCTCTGAATTCAATAAAAAATATATATATATGTATTAAATTTTAAAAAAAGAACGTTCTGGGAAGAAGGGAGCTTCTTGCGTCTGGAAGATGCGGCCGAAGGAGGCCGGAGCTGCGGGAGGGGCTGCGGGCATCTCCCGGGAGGTGTCTGGAGATGGAGGGTCTGCCCGGGCCCGGCCAGGGAGCGGCTCTCACCTCCGAAGCCGGGCCGCAGCCTCTTGTCGTAGCCCTCCAGGAGCCCGTCCAGGATGCGGGTGTACATGGTGATGTTGTCCTCCGTCTTCTCTTCGGAGCTGGGCGGCTTCTGCAGGAAGCTTTGGGAACAGACACAAAAGGGTTCTGGCTCCTGCTCATCATTTCTTTCTTCTTCTTTTTTTAAAAATTATTTTTACTGCCCGGCTGGTGTGGCTCAGTGGTTGAGCCTTGATCTAGGAACCAGGAGGTCACGGCTCGATTCCCGGAAGGGCACAGGCCTGGGTTGCCGGCTCGATCCCCAGTGGGGGGTGTGCAGGAGGCAGCCGATCAATGATTCTCTCTCAACATCGATGTTGCAATCTCTCCCTCTCCCTTCTCTGAAATCAATAACAATAAAAAAATATTAAAAAAACAATGGTAATTACATGCTTTTAAAATCTCTTTCCTCCCTCCCTCCCTCCCTCTCTCTCTCTCTGTCTCTCAAATCAATAAATTAAAAAGAAAAGGAGCCTTAGCTGGTTTGGCTCAGTAGATAGTGGATTGACCCACGGACTGAAGGGTCCCGGGTTCAATTACGGTCAACGGCACCTACCTAGTGATAGAGTCATTCCCTGCCCTGGTTAAGGTGAGTTTGGGAGGCAATTAATGGATGTCTCTCTCTATCTATATCTATATCTATATCTATATCTATATCTATCTATCTATCTATCTAT